TAGTTAACCGCTTTTAAAATAGGACAAAAGGACACCTGGTCATACAGGAAAATGAATTTACTGTATCCCGAAAGCTTTGGTTTCCCGTGCACTTATTTTTCGCAGGAGACAATCGATAACTGCCTGGTCACGCAATCGGAGGTGAGTAACTAATTAAAAGTCACTGATACCATCGCCGCTTAGCAAATACACTACGTGCTGCAAAGGATCCAAATTGCGCTAGAATGTTTTCCTATTCGGCCCACTTTTTATCTCAGGTAAGGCACTGCAAAGCGGATTCATTTACGAAGGTTCGAGCGAGAATTATTTCATGATGTTATTCTGATTTCGCAGTCACGGAAAAAAAGACCTAGACTCAGGTCCACTCCCAGACGCCATGGTACAATCTACAAGATCTCAAGAACAGACATTACCCATTGAACTGCCTCTCCTTTTGAAGATTGCGTGTATTTCATTAAAACAGGTACATATTAAAAAAATCTTGTTAGTTTCTCCCTTTTGACGAGCTCAAATCGATGCATAAAACTAAGCAGGGGCACCCAACGAGAATATAGTTCAAAACCACTTAAACATAGCATTGTTAAACGTATTTTAGTACTTAAACTGTAGATATAGACATATTTTTATCCCCTAAAAATTTTTCATCTGTTCGGATTTCCTAGCTGAAAGTCTAGTGATCCGAAAATAATAGGGATTAAAACTTACTTTTTCGAAAATTTCAGCCAGCAAAAAGGCTCCCGAAAATTCTAGGTGACCTTTTTAGGGTAAAAATCCGTTAAAAATAGGCAATTATACCATTTTTTACATGTTCGAAAATCCTAGGAGAGGCAGGCAAGCAAGAAATTTTACAACAAATGTTTCGAAAATTCTAGATCTCAAATCGTCTTCCGAACAGATATTCTTCCGAAAATTGTCGTTGGGTGCCCCTGACTAAGGTGACGTGTGCGTGTCAACTGACCCTGGGGTCAATTAGCGGTTGTTTGGGGCAAAATAACCTCAAAATAATCAATCTATTTTACAAGCGTTCGCGAGAACACCAGACTAACTTTCAGATAATGTTGAAGTACTATATCTCATTAGGTAGTAAGCGGGATTTGGGGTGATTTGGAGAATTCCCCCATATAGAAAATTCGATTTTGGTTTTAGCGGTAAATTGTTGTATTTATAAACATTATGCAAATTACGTTTCAAAATTGTGCTCGTTCGCCGATATTTTATGCTCTAATTCTAAAAAAATGTGCCGTTCAGAAATTGTTAATATCTGTTTTTTGAGATTTAAGCGGAAGATTGCCAATATATTCGCTCGTTTATGAAAGTCAGCTCATTTCTGTCGCTAGGCTATATTGCCGTGTTCGGCGGCTAATTTTAGGCCCGCAGACCGTTGAAATCGAAAATCTCAAATAATTCCCAAACTCGGCCGCATTTTGAAATTTAAACCTCAGCAGTGTTATAAACTCATTAAAACCTTATTACAGACTTAAAATGAGGGTAGGTTAGGTTTTGAGCTGTGGCCACGGTTTGCTCGATTTTTCTGTGCATTCGCTCTTAAAATCTTTTGGCGGTCAAATATACCGTCGAATCGTGTTGCGTCCTTTTATACGTCATGTAGTGCGCACGAAAAGCGTTCTAATCTGACAGGCGTTCCTTGGAAGTGAGGGACTGGTGCGAGTTTTTTACTGTTTATCGGACGGTTTCGGACGGGAGTAACAAGAAATTTGCAAGGGGTATTAAAAGATACATTTTCAGTTTTTATTCACGTGACAAGAAATTCATCAAGGTAAATGTGAAACCAACGTTTTACTGTTCACTTCTATAAGTTATGAGCGTAAACACGTGTCTGATCTATCGATGCTTGTCTTCTGCTTCCGCGGTCATATGTTCGTGGTTTATTTACGAACTACAAAAGTCCACAACAATAGCGTTTTCCAGGAACTTACTCTACACTTTCTACTCCAGAAATCCCACCTGTGGAATTCCCCCATACCTTCGGATTTCAAATCGTAAATACCCCCCCATGCCTTCAGAATTCCGTAATCGTGAATCCCCCCTCCCCTTCGGAAATCCTTAAAGCCGTCCGTGGTATGGTATGGATATTTTCTGGAATCGCCCGATCTGAATAACTAAGCGATTTTCTTTAGTCCGTAAATGTAATGTTTTTCTGAAATGTTGTATCACGCTGGGCCGACGTCAATCAGACCTTTCAACAGTCAGTGTTCTCGCCAATAAGAACTTGCATCAGGATCTGATGCACAGCGGGTGCCGTGGAACGGCGGTCCCAAAGGCTTGTCCACAGGCCTTTTCGCTTTTCCCTCTCCCTAATTCCCCGCTCGACCAAAGGCCTGTTCACAGGCTATTGTAGGGGCACCTGAGACTACTGAATTTGTTTGTGGGCTAATGATTAATAAGCTTATAGAAAGGTACCCTGCGAGCAGAGGCTACATTTTCGCTGTGTGAGCTGTCGTGCAAAAAGTAGTGGCTACTTTTCGCACGCCAGCTCACACAACGAAACAGTCTGTAGCCTCTGCTCGCAGGGAAATAGAAAGGTTAAAATAGATCAGAATCAAGTTACATGTAAACTTAGCATAGCTTACCACATGAAATCCAATAGGTGTGATCTGTAAGACACTTTAGAAGCTCAGATTTTTGCATAAAATCCATCTAAAAAGATATAACTAAAAAATTCGTGAGGCAGATTAACATTGTCTAAACCAGATGAGTTGAGCCCGCTATACTGCAGCGGGTTCAAATGACAAAAACAACATTCATAGTTAGTTCATGAAATGTCACGTTCCCATATGACGGCATCCCTGCCCCAGGCGGGGGTGGGGGGGGTACTCCGATATATTACCTATACTGGTATGTGCCACCCAAAGGGGTCGTGATTTTGACGCTCCTGATTTAGAACGGGGTATCCATGTCAGAGGCATTTTCTAGAACGGGGTATAATATTTCGAACGCACGAAAGCTCCACTTTTGTAAGCAGCCATTTGAAAGTATTCAAGGACAGATTGCTTTTAAAAATACGGTTCAATGCGTTAACAAGCAAACCGTTGTACTCTTGTTGCACCCTAGAACGGAGTATAAAAAAATTGGCCCATTTCTAGAACGGGGTATCAATTTTAGGAGAAATTTTTTTCTAGAACGGGGTGCCAATTTGGAGTCCCGGGCGGCACATACCCACCCAAAAAATACTCAAGTGCCCCCCCCCCCCCGGGATCCCTGCCTAGTCTAAAGGATTGGTGAAACGTCAAAGATGTTAATTCCCAGAAATGAATGATTAGAATTTATCGAAGAAATCTTTGTTTCTTCTACATTCCATTCTCTTGACGGACATTACTCAATGACCAGTGATTAACCAATTAACAAGTGATGTCTCAAGTTTCCTTGGATGAAGGAGTATTTCAATTCCGTCGACACCTAAAATTCTTAGTTAATTCACCAAATATCAGACGATGGGGAACGAGTTAATTGTACACGGCGAGCGCAAGACGGAAAACGAGGAGAAAAAACGAAGTGAGACTTGGTCTCCTCTCGCTTTATTCCCTCGTAAATGTTTCGCCCTCGCCCTGTACTGAACGCCTGGAACAGGTTATCAAATATCACTGACTAATTTATAAGTTAAGCATAACTTTTGGATGCATCTTACCGACTTATTCAGAATAAAAAGCATAGGTCTGAATGGATCCTATCCTGCATTACTTACAGGCGTTTTTTGAGCGGGAGAAAGTGGTTTCAACATGACCCTTTTACGTTGACAAAAAAATTTGCGCGCCCGTAGAAAACGCCTGTAATGCTGACTTAAGGGTTCCCTATCTTGAGGGGAGGGGGTGACCGGACGACCGGGTTTCTCCCCGCTAAGACCCTACTTCAGACTGCGGCTGTAAATAATACACGTTGGTCAGATGGAGTCAGATTCAAAGTCGTAATCAGAGATCAGAGAGGCCTAGAGTCAGCTGTAGAGTGAAAACCGGAAGCTCCGATTCCGCTTTTGACAAGCGCTCACGGACTAGTGTAAATCAGCTTTACGTTTGTCGGAATTGCAAGCAGAACCGAAAGAAGTAAGCCAGTTACAAGTCCCTATACGGCGTCTCGGTCAATCCATTTTAGTGACCCACGTGACCCAAAACGCATACGCAGTGCGAAACAGCTTACGCGAACTCCGCGGACAACCTTGTCTTCAGATAAGAAGCAATGGAATGGAGTCATAAGGAGCAGGAAGAAAATGGAAACGTTCTGATTCTTGCGTCTTCGATTTCGTCGAGCTTATCAGTGACTCCATTTACGACTACGATTTTGATTCTAGCTAGATCATATAAAGCGCTCTTACGACTTTGACCCGTCACTAGTGAAAAACTAACCTGAAAGGAAGTCCATAACAACGATTTTTCCAAAACATCAAGAATTATTTTGCGTGAGCATCTCTATGGGTTTTTAAACGTATTTTAGTATTTAAACAGTAGATAAAGGCATATTTTTATCCCTAGGGACGTCGATTTCGTCATTAGTGAGATGTTCGAAAATCCTAGGAGAGGCAGGCAAGCAAGCAAGTGCGTGATAGCGGGAGTTTATATCAGTCAAACGTCTGCAATTTATTTTTACCTGGGATTCAGCTGCTGTCCGGAGGGCGAGAGTTGACTGTAGTCCGAAATACCCATAGAGAGTCTCGAAAATCAAAACTGGCCGGCCAGACCGGTCATTTTGGAAGTGAAATACATGCATTGGTCTTTTACTTAACCCATCACATCCGTGTAAACCATTATTTACGAATCAACTGATCTGACTGGACAGTCCTGATTAATAGGGGAATTCTCTTTAAGATTGGACTGGTATGGCCAGGTAGTTATGACAAATAGCGCCCTAAGACATTCTCTGAACGCTGAGTGACGCTAAAGTGAACAATTTCATAGAGTAAACTTAAAAACTAAAGAAACGCGGGAAAGGTTAAACGGGACAAAAAATAAAAGCATAAAAGACAAAATCAACCTGCAACAATTGAGTCACGAGGCTCAAAGGGTGTTTTTGCCTTTATTCAGTTTTATTCAGTTTTTACTTCTAAGCGTTTATACAATACAACTCGTGGTATGCAAATAGAAACGAACAGGGAGGAAAGAACAAAGACCGACAACCAGACGCAACTCTTTACGAGATATGAACACTTTGATGGATCTCCCTGTGGTCTAAACTGCACGAACACCAAACGTTTCTAACATTCGCAGGCAGCATAAACAGGTTAGCATCAAAAAGGCTTCAGGTCAGACGAAATTCTTCTTGGTTGCAAGGTGACTTAGTAGTAGTTCAGTTAATAAAACTTCACCTCACAATACACCATATTCCCAAACACAGAGCCGATCAGCAAGTGATCTTTGTAAAATATTGCAGACGAGGAGCCCGTCACTTCCTTGCCGTCATTCATGTACACCTCGCGAACCTCGTAATCAGGAAAAGCTTCCCCGGATGAAGATGGCTTTCCCAGATTCAAAGTGAAAACTTGAGAAGGACTGGGAAGACTGAGGTTCTTTTGGTTGTGTTCAATAAAGTCAATTAAGCGAGGCATTCCCGCAACCCAAAAATTTCCAGTCACAGGGTCAAGGTTGATGTTATCTATAAATGATCCAACCGGAATTGTCTGTTGAAGAAAAACAGAGTATTCAGGTATAAGAATACTGCAAGGTACCATGGGAAAAGGTAAAAATGGATTCAAACAAAAATCGACGACCTTTTCAGGGGTCTGCAGGCAGTCTAAATAACCCCATTCCCAACCTTTCTCTGCTTCAGTGCTGGAGATATTAAGGACTCAATCGCCCCATATAAGGGAATCCAAGACAGTCTTGGATTCTGGATTCCACACCGTGGAGTCCGGATTCCAGGTACTGGATTGCGGATTCTTTGTTAGTGGAACCAGCAACCTCGTTCCCAGGGCCCCATTTTTTTTAAGGGGAAAAGCCCTGGGAACGAGGTTGTGGAATCAGAATCGTTAGTGGGATTCCGGATTCCTTGAGCTGTATGCCAGATTTCAAAGCCCAGGATTCCAGATTCCACAAGCACAAATCCCAAGATTCTGGATTCAACAGGCATATATTTCCGGGATCCGGATTCCATTCAATCTAAGACCGAACTGACCTGACATTTTTCTAATGTGTTGTCTTGACGACGTCTGAAAATTGCAATACTTCCAGAAAGGTTGTCGGGTGTAAAAACAAGCCTACGAGAGAGTAAACCAAACAAGCATTTATTTTAACATAAGTGGGAGTTTTTTAAAAATTTTAAGAATTACAAAAAAGTATCAATGTTTTGGATTCGTTGTTTAGGTCATTAGGCCCATTATATAAGAGGATAAAACAGATGTCACGTTCTCGGAGGCAAAACAAGTGATAACTCTGCCGATACAAGAAATCGCGGTCCAGTTTGTTTATTCTAAGCAACAGAAAATGAAGAAAACTTTTTATCTTAAAAACGATAAAGGCAAGTTATTGGTGGAGGTGATCATTTTTACTTTTTTGGATAGAGTAGCGACCGTAGATGTCCTAACAGCAAGCAATACTGGCGTAAAGTTGTCGGAACTCGAACTGTACATTTTGCGGGACTGAAATTATCGCCAAGTTTTGAGAGGTGGTGGACAAAAACCCTGACCCCCAGTTCACGGATTACCCTAAAATGGACTACGCCGCTGAACTTTAGTGATTTGGGGTTAGAAAACTGAGGGAATCAACTTTCAGGTTAGTTTTCCCAGTATAACGACCCTAAATGGAACCTGATTGTCTCAGTTTCCTACCCCTAGTCACTAAACTTCAGCGGCGTACGTAGTCCATTTTAACCGAGGGTAGTCCACCACTGGGGGTCGGTGTTTTGTCCACCACCGTTTTGAGAGAATAGACAACCTCGACCGCGATTACGCGTATTGGCGACTCTTATCACTTGTATTCCCCTAAAATACCACCTGAAATTGCTTTTATCCCATCAATCCTAAAAAGTGTACAAAGATGGCAGGTATCGTATAAGCTTTTCTTCTCCCCGTAGGTCACTTGGCATGACACTTTATGGACACTCGAACTAACCTTTCGTCTTTATCCATAGTAATACCATTCGGATGAACTCCTACAAACGCTTTAATGGCCTTGAAGCCATCAAAAAACACGATGTTACAAGGTAGCCAGTAATTGAGTAAAAATCCCCACAGGTTTCTCATTACGGTGCTTTCAAAATGAAAGAAGTTGTCGTTGGTGACGTAAAAGCTATCAGGACCTGCAAAGGATAAAGAAAGAAAGAAATTCATCATCTCACGTTTTATATTGTAGTGTAGGCATTAGCCTGCACAATAGGCGTTATATTTTCGCGTTTTTTAGGCAAGAAAAGGCAAGCACGAAGCGAGCGAGGAGCGCCAGACACGCGTCTAGCCCCGTCGCGCGTCTGGCGCTCCTGTCTCGTTTCGAGATTGACTTTGCTCACCTGAAAAACGCGAAAAAATGACGCTTGTTATCACTTGTGCCCAAGGAGGGGCCGTTTGCCTGGCTAGGGTGGAGAATTTGAACCGGACGTGTCAAGTTTAACTTCTTTGTACAATCCGATAACGTGGCTCGATAGCCGTTGATCTTTCGCATAGTGATATGGAGGAGTTTGAAAGGAAAGAAACAGCTTTTGTAAACAAACTGCTTGTCCAGCAAGGACTGTTAAAGTTACAGGTATGCGCTACATCGAGTGTTTAATTTTTCCGATCAACGTCATGTGGATTCACTCAAGTCTATTTTTAGAATTCACAATGTGCAAAACATTTGACCACTACATTTGGCTAATGTACCGGTAACTTCAGACTAGTCATGCGTTGCTTACTACAACAGGTTTCACTTTGTGAAAACCCAAAGCTGAGGAAAGACTCGCAATTAGGGGGACCTCGACTGAATGACTGGAATGAGAGCACGGGAAGGAGCGAGGTTTCCTATCGATGCGCGATGCAACCAGGTTTATTTAAGCCATCAAAAAATGACACAGATACCCAGAAATACAAAGCATGCAGTAATATCAAAATGAGAAAGCAATATCTTTCTTTCATACTACAGTATCCTTCCCGGCATCCATAACAACTCAATTGACAGCTGTCAAAATGGGGGATCCACTGGCCCGCCATCTCTGTCTCAGATGTAACTATCGCGCCGTTGAGGCAATCCCGTCCCCAAGGACTTCTCTTTTTCCAAGAGAAGGCCCTGGGTTGAGGTTGTTAACGAGGTCGATCGTGGTCACGTATTCTTTTGAAGCTATCCGCTGACCATAGTTTTCTTAGGATTGCAAGCTTTTTTTAAGTTTTGTGTAAGGGGTTGCAGTTTCAGGCTTGGCTAAAGCTATATGTTAACAGGTAATTCCCTTATATTTGGCTTAAAAAACGTTTTACCAAAGGCCAAAGCAAAGATATTTGTTGGTACAGCCGACTCTGTCTTAACGGACACCTCTGTAAAATGGTTGGTCCCCAGCTTTCTTTTTCCCTTTTATTTGACTCTCTATAAGAAGGACGTCTGTCAGACGGACATTTAGTACCGGTCCCAAAAGGTGTCCGTCTTTCTATAATTTCATCCCCAGTCATTAGAATGTGAGATGGTCATCAAATGATTGCCACCTCTGTAATTTTTCAGGGGTCACTTACCAACTGCATATACATCATTTGGACTCCAGATCAAATCATCCACCACAGAACGGCGATGTATTAATGAACGTGTTTCCCGCTCAAAGTCAAATATTTCAATGGCTTGTGCATCTGGTCGGTGATTCACAACAAACAAGGATACCTGACCCGAGGATGGGTCACGATACACGCTAATCCCGTGAGGGTTAAATCCCTTGCGATCGAAGTTTTTCAGTGTTAGTTCAACTGGATCCTGGTCAGGTTTGTTGAAGTCAAACGCTAACAGCTTACCATCTCGTTTGTCAATCTCGGGATCATACCAGAGTCCAGCTGTATTGCGGAGTCCCTGTTTGCAAATCAGAAAGGAGCAACTTAATCCTCATTATGATCGTCATCATCACAATCACCTAAATTATAATCATCATGATCATAATTACTATTATCAATATTGACATGATTACTGGTGATGTGATCAACATTAAAACAGTGTGCTTAATACTTTCTCTTTTTATTTATTTTCTCATAAATACATCTCCAACAATTAGATCAGCCCTAGTTTAGTATACAAGACAGCTGTGATAGATATAGCAAATAACTGGTCTAGAGCAGTACAAGTGGAGCTAATTCAGAGAAAGAAATCTTTACCAGTACTTACAGAAGAGACAAAAACCAGTCCATCAGGGAGAAGAGCAAAGTCCTCAGAGCCATTTGCTAAAAAGTAAAGAAGCAATCATGACTCTACACAAATACGTAACACGAATAATCTGCATTCTGCTGGACCGGCGAACAATGCAGTGGATCCCAAAGTAAGAAAATAAGCTTCTCAAGTGATGTAATGTCTTTGTTTTTCAGCCCCAATGTTTCTCACGCTCTCCATTGCGATCACGTACATTTTGAGACTTTTTTAGAGCTAAAACATTCAAAGACTGTTGAATGAAATATTGTGTGAAAACAAGAATTTAACATAGAGAGATCGATGCCAACCTGAAAGGATCTAGAGTCTGGAGGCTCTCTCTTTTGCAGTGCACCAATACTACTACTGTCAATTCAGTTCTGTGTCCACTTAATAGAGGTTTTTAAGAATAGAAATTAGCCGAATACAATTTATTTTAGTGTCCGCTGAATAGGGGTTCGTTATAAAGGGAAATATAAGACATTAACTTCGGGACACGGGTTAGTGTCTGCTTAATAGAGGGTGTCCGCTTAATTGGGGGTCCGCTTAACAGGGGTTTCACTGTATAGTTTCTAGACCAAAATCTGTGTTAACTTTCTTCAGGAACATTAAATTAGTTCAATCACTTCACTTTTAGTTACAGTCAAACCTCTTGGTACGGACACTTCTCTAAGACGAACACCTCTCTTTTACGGACAGTTTCCAATGTTCCGACAAAATTCTCATACATTTTCTTTAAAAAAACCTCTATAATCATTATAGACACTATAGACACGGACTCTCTGTAATACGGACAACGGACACTAAATCTGTCAAATCTCGGCCCCAGAGTCTGAATAACTTCATATAAAATTAACCTCTTTATTAAAGACACTGCGGTGATCAGGTGAATCCCGAATCCCAATCAGGTGATCATGAATCTCCACAGGATGAATCCCGTCTAGTCTGGCTGATGAGTTATGCAAGGTGATATAAACGCCAGTCACTGTATACCAAACAACGATTTGCGAAAGGTGTACAGAGAAACATAACTTTTTGAAGGCTTCAATAACTACAGATACCATAAAGATCTTTCCTATTACATGCATTTTGTACTCTAGTTACTGTTTACTACACTTGCAAAATAGCGAAAGACGCGTTCAGAGTTGTGCTTTACGTTACAACTTTTTACATGCAGCATTGCACGGGAGCTCGTTCCTTTTGAAAACAGTGATTTGTCTTTGGCTGAGATGGAGAATGTTGTACGTTACTGAAAGACACTGTCTTTGTACTGTGAACTAATAACCTTAAATGCAGTTTAAAGACGAGTGTGAGCCTGGTTTTAGCTACTGAACACTTAGAACTGTAAGTGGAGTCATAAAAGTGACGTCACTATAGTGACCTCTTTTATACTGACACCTCTCTAACACGGAAACTCCGCTCTGTCCCTTCTGTGTCCGTATTAGAGATGTTCAACTTTTAATCATGTGCACGCGCATCTGCACTCTGCCTACAAAACTCAGGCACCGAAAACTGTTCACTTGGACAATGAATACTATTCTTCTTGTGCTCAACGCTAGTGTCTCGAAACTATAATGGCTTTTTGTATCATAGTTACTTAAATAATAGTTATGTACATGTATGTGTATTTTTTTAAATCACTTCTTCACTTTAATTTATTTGATTGGTGAATTTTAATGTATTGAAACATTTAATCATTTGAATGAATTCTATAAATTTGAATAAGCTAATTTCCTTTGGAGATACCAGCCTGGTGGCAGCTGTTCCTAGTGGAAGGGAAGGAGAAAATGATTTCGCTTTTTTTGCTATCGAAAATTGAATAGTTTTTAATTGATGATTGATTGACAGTTATTCGAGAAAAAAGAAACAGTAAATTTCGTGTTATTCACGTGCAAATGAAGGCATAATTTATTCTCAAATAGACAAACTAGAAGCCATCACATGACGTATATCAGAGAAATAAGAATCAATTCTGCGTTATGCAATGGCTGTAAAAAACTAATTAAACTTGTTGTTTTCTCTGATAAACGTCGTGTGATGGCCTCTAATTTGTCTATTTGAGAATAAACTACAAAGCGCACGGAAAACTTTTCAGAGTAATTAAGCTTAATTTCGAGTAGCTCCTGGGCTCTCCACCTTATCACTCAAGTGAATCGTCGAGCCCCTGAAAATAAAATGGATTGTCTTATAAATAAGACTTCAACCCCGACTGAAGAACTGCCACCCCAGTAAAGTATATGCCTTACCTGTTCTTTATACTCATACCTATAGATATACCTGTTTTCCTTAACACATGAAATTAATTATTTACCTTTCTTGTTCTGCATGGGCTGTTCATGCATCTATCATGACTAGCGAGCCGCCGAGCCGGTCGTATATCTGGTCTTATGTCGTTCCGCTAAGAAGCGAAACAAGCGGTGCGTATGTATATGCTTCGTTCTCTCAGCTATGATACAAAAGAGTGCGATGCACATGTATATACCTCGTTCTTTCAGCCACTGATCAGGCGAAAGCAGTTTGGCAACTGATCCAACAAGTACGCGAAACGACTTCAGAAGTTAACGAACACGGTAGACTGCCGAGGCCACTTCTACAAAGTCCTTACTCTGTATATAAGTGAAGAATCTGTTTAGAAAAACTTACCTTGTATCACTTTACAAGGTCCAGGGGAGTGGTTCAAAGTCTTCGTAAAAAAACCAAGGGCAATCCTAGAGAATATCCAAGGACCGAGGATATGAATTAAACACTCGAAGCATTTGAGCTTAATAGGTTCACAAACTATTATTCGAACCAATGGAACACATCTATTATTCACTTACAGGACTTTTAATACGTGTGAAACCACAATGGCGATTAAAGCACATACAATAGTGACTTCCAAAGTTAACAGTCGACCCATGGATTCGGCGTGTGGAGTCTTACAGACAGTTGTGCATCACATTCAGTTGCCCGCACTGCATGAAGTTCTTGGCAAAATGCACGGTGTTCAAGATTGCGTGACATTCTTGCCCTTCACTCGGCCACGAAGACTGGAGTCTTCTGGCTTAAAAAAGAGGTTTATGAGGGCTTATAAACGAAGTGGGGGGAGGGGGCGGGGGGAGCTTGTCCTCGGGAGAGCTTACAAAAGGACTAAAAACGCGTTTGAAAAGAAGATACATAACAGTGCTAATTAACAAACTTTTTGAATTTACCCGCCTTTTTAAGCTTGGGCTACACTGGGCATTTGTTAAAGGCTGTGTTGTTCCCGCGATGGGGCGTTTGTCATAAAAATTCTGCCCAGCTGCAGGGAATTTTTCGTGAATGAAGCACAAACATCAAGCACAAGCTTACTAAAGAAAGTTTTGGCATCTTGAAACTTCGTGTTAAAATTAAAATGTTATCGTCTAACAGAGGAAAGTGAGTTTTAATAAAAGAGCACTCTGTTGAGGAGAAAAGCCGGCTATAATGGGGTTTGCGAAGCTTTGACGAGAATTTCAGGAGGAAATGGCAAAGACTGTCATCCCAAAAAGCCATACTTATGAAACAAAAATACATTTCTTCGTTGTGGTCAATTTTAACGGTAAGCAGATTCTTCTTCGATGTTAGGGTCTGTCAGAGTTTCCCAGAGATAGGGATACTCTTATGTAAGTATCTTTTACATTGTAGTTGATTTTTACCAAGACCTTCGTTATTGTTTTTTACTTTCACTGGTAAAGTTAATACTGTTTCAACCATTTACACACTGCGCGAATTAACGATTTTAAGCCTCTTTCAAGGAAACATACCTTTTGCCTCATCCGCAAAGTTGATCATTAAGCACAAATTTTAAGCCCTACGGAGGGGTTTTTGTATGAATCTGCTGGTCTAACCGTGGGCCATTTGCAGCTTTTAGGAAGAAGGCCAGGCACACCTTCGCGGCAGGCGCCGGTTTCTTTTTTGTTGTTGTTTATTTCTCTGATAGAGCGCGCGAGGGGAACCCACGAAGGGGATAGTTGAAAGTAAGGTCTGCGCGGCAGGCGCCTCCTCTCTTTTTCTCCCCTCGAACGCGCGCGTAAACTCGATATTTCTCTTTTTCGCCCTAAAAAAACCGGCGCCTGTTACGCAGGCTGCACTTGGAATTGACTGAGCCATGACGTTCGTAAGCTACCTTTAGCAGCTTGAAAAGCATCAGAGATCAGAGGTGCAGTTTTCTTGGTTGTATAACGACTTTGCAACAGTTTAATAAAACTTAACTTCACAGTACACCATATTACTATATACAGAGCCGATCAGCAAACGATCTTTGTAAAAAATTGCAGACGAGGAGCCCGACACTTCCTTTCCATCATTCATGTACACCTCGCGAAGCTCGTAATCAGGAAAAGTTTCCCCGGATGAAGATGGCTTTCCAAGCTGCAAATGTAAAACTTGAGAAGGACTGGGAAGACTGAGGTTCTTAGAGTGTTCAACGAAGTCAATACCGCGAGGTATTCCCGCAAGCCACAGATCTCCAGTCACAGGGTCAAGGTTGACGTTATCTATAATTGATCCAATTGGAATCGTCTGTTAAAGAAAATCACAGTATTAAGGTATTAGAAATGCGTAAGATAGAATGAATTTCGAGAGGGACCGCCTCCCGAGGAGCCTGGGATTCAAAATTCTCCCCACACACCCACCCACCACCTCTCACTTCCCTTCGCCCATCGTTGGTGCTAATGATATCAAAGCCTCAATCTGAAACAAGCGAACTCACCTGAGACTTTTCTAATGTGTTGTCTTGACGACGTCTGTAAATTGCAATGCTGAGGGAAATGTGGTCGGGTGTAAAAACAAACCTACAAGGGAACAGAGGATGCCAGGGAATTAAATTATTGTTTACGGCTGATTTCTGTTACACCCGCATGGCATGGTAAAAATCTTCAGCTTCATCTTCAGATATACACCAGTACAGGTTTCCTGTACAGCTCAGTTTCCTATGACCGCTAAGGGAGCGCTGAAAAAATTTCAGCGATTGCAGCAACCTGAGAAACGAGACGTCGCCACTGATTTTCCCGCCAAATGACGTTTGAGGAACAAGCCCAGAAATTCCACACTGATGACGTGTTACTACCCTGTTCTGGAAAGTACTTCTGATTGATTGCTTTCTGTGCCGCGAGAGAAATTTGCCTCAACCATTCAGAAGCACTACAAAAATCTGAGTACAGTGACAGGTCATCAGTATGGAACTTGTGCTCTTGTTCCTTTGACATCATTTCGGGGGGAAACCGATGGGATGGGGTGGGGTGGGGTGGGGTGGGGTGGGGTGGGGTGGCGTCGCGAAAAGGACGCCCGTTTCCTCAGGCTACGATTGCAGGGAATAAATGAAAAACAATTCTCCAACGATAATGGCCATCGTATATATAAAAAAGCCGAGAGCAACAACATCTAATAAGCACCCGTCGTTATTAAACCATTTACAGTTCAGAAAAAAAATTGTCCACTTCACTGGACAAAGAAAACGAAGGCCCTGGGGAAGAGTCTGAAAACAGCACATTAATTTACTAAAACGCACAACACTTGCACAAACCCGTTTTTTTTTCTTTCGCTGTTTCCAATGGGTCGCTGGGCACCGCACTTTATCGACACTCGAACTAACCTTTCGTCTTTATCCATAGTAATACCATTAGGATGAACTCCTCCAATCGCTTCAACGCCCTTAAATCCATCAAAAAACACGATGTCACAATGCAGCCAGTAATTGAGTAAAAATGTCCACAGGCTTCTCATCACGGTGCTGTCAAAATGGAAGAAGTTATCGTTGGTGACGTAAAAGCTATCAGGACCTACAAAGGATAAATGAGGGAAAACAATGTCATTATCTCGCATGTTATTTTGTTACACGGATATCAGATAACTAGCCGAGCAGGACAAACCAAATAAACAGCCACTTATCTGGACTACTTTTTTCCACAGTGCTGGTTACATAGCCACTTAGTCTTAGACTTGGTAGATTGCTAACTAAAACAGGTTAGTGTAACGCTGGCAACAGTCGCAACGTTGCACATGGCAAAGTACAGTTCACCGCGGCGCAGATAAGTAAACAATCTAGTTCTTATTACTTAAGATGGTGATGATGATGATAATGATAATAATAGTAATAATAATAATAATAATAATAATAATAATAATTAAAGCCAATCACTAAGAACTAAGCAGTCAAAGCTAAGACACTGGATGGGTTACAGAATGACTCTCTGTGTTGTACAACTCTCATCTGCCTGCCCAGAGAGGGCGCAGAAAGAATATAAACAGAGACACGATGGAGTAGCTAGGGCCGGCCATATTGGTGTTCCAAACCAATCCTGGGGGAGTTGAACTCTTTTCTGAGGTAAGCTATTTCTTTTGTTCCAGTAAATTTGCATAGATGCTGGACACGTGAGTGAAAACACTCTATACGCAGCTTCGAACACGACAAAATGGTAATGGGATCACCGTGTTGCCTTGGATACGTCGATCATGAAAAAACTGCCTTTTTTTGAAACTCCGGTGATCACCCTACG